TAAAGGAAAATTTATGTAATCAGATTTCACCCTGAATACCGTAAAGAGAAGTGACACAGATGCATGTTGCCATTAATGAGAAGGGATTGCTTTCAGAAGTTATCTTGAGACCAGAGCATAAATAAGGGCTTCAGTTATGAGTAGGATGATTCTGGGAATTTCTGCTTTTGTCCTGATGGGGTTGTCCTGCACCTGTCACAGAGCACAGCGCAGACAGAGGCTCCTCCTGAGAACTCATCTGAACCCACGCTTGGGCCAGGCTGGATTCCATGGAGCTACTTCTTGTCTAGCAAGAGAGTGCTCCATGTTTCCAGCTCAGAGTGTATGTGGGGAAGGACATCCCAGAGCAGTGTCCCACCAGCATCATTCCTCAATGGAGCTGTGGGACATGTGGGCACAGTGCACATCTCTGATTCCCAGGCTCCTCTGAGCCTCCCCTGCCCTGGCTCCACGGCTGCACTGCAGCCTGGCTGCTCTCTCCCAGCCCAGAATTTTGGCATGTGAGTCAGGAATGTGGACAGTGCCTGTCTTCCATGAGAGTCTCTGAGCACCAAATGCACTGGTGTATGGCACGGGGGCTTACATCAGGGACAGGTGTACCTGTCACACAGAAACCTTCCTTCTCAAAACTGGGATGTAATTGTCCACAGGCCAAGCTCATGCAGACTCCTCCATCTGCAATTTGGTTCCTAGAAGTGCTAGGCAGCTCTTCAAAGCTTAACATCTGCCCTTTACATTTTGTTGTCATAACAACAGCACAAACCCTCTCCTTGTGACTAATCTGCTTTGCTTTTCTCCATCTAGATTTTAAAGAGAAAGAACTATAAGCATAGTTTCCCTGCTCTTTCACCCACTGTCTCTGAACATTTTCTCCCTCTTCTCTTTCCAAGACTACTTCTGGGGGGGGAGCAGGAGTTCTCTAGGAAGATGGACAGAGAATTTAACCTTAGAAAGTGACTGTGCTGTTCTGTCTCCCACTGAAGAGCACAGCAACAAAAGGCTGCTCTGCTATAAAAATGTATCCAATTTAATGACTAGAGAAGTAATAATAATGTAGGAAGCAAATATGAAGGATTTTAACCTAAAATGCTGACCCTGATTTTAATACAGTATGTGCATTTATACCAGATTAATGTCAAGAAGAAGAGATGTTTCAATGAAAGCAAGAAATAGAGAAGTGAATTACAGAGAGCTAGCAGTGACCACAGCTGCTTAGCTAAGTTTCTTAACACTATTTTCAAGTGCTTATAACTTTTTCAAATTACATATTTCCTGAAACACTGTTCAGTGTTTCTTTTTGCCTACAGATCATTTTGGAAATGTAAGCAGTCTAAGCAGGAATGTCACACTCCATTGTTATTTCTCTAATGGTGACAGAATAGGGATGGTCCCTGTGTTCTACAAGCAGGGGTGCCAGGCAGATCCACCTTCCTGCTTGGACTTCTGCTCTCTGCCCTTCACAACCCCCAAGGTTGCCCAAAACTTTGTATTGCAACTGAGGCAGGCAAATTCTCTCTTCTTTCACTATTTTCATTCTTATTTTCACAGAATAACTAATATTTATGTGAAGATGTTTCAGTGAACAGTCAGAATTTGCTCAATTTTATAACAGAAATCTCAGGGAAATCTTTTAGGTGAGGCGTGTCTGGCTGAGGTGCTGGAGCCTTCTAGAGATAACACTCTCCAAACTCAGTAACAGCACCAGAAGTCTTGATCCTAAGGAGTCCTTTTATGTCTAGAAAACAGCTGCACAGGCCACTTAAGAAGTGTGCATTGCTTCCTCTTCTGAGGCTGCCTTTAACTAACCATCCAATTGTATTTCTGATTAAATGTTAGTCTCTCATTTTGTGTTTTGTCAAGAACTGCAGGTTGCTTTTGAATAGCTTTTGTGTGTTCTCTAATTGAATTTTTCTTTATTATTGCTATTGTCATAGCATTGAGGAACCTTTACCACAGCTCAACGCACTACGCTGTGTACATAGTGATAAGTGCTGGTTTCCAGCATTATCTATTTTGTCAAGTATTACTCAATAGGGTAACACAACTTGGCTCAAAATAATGAACAAACACTGTACTCAGATCTTGTATTGTGGTTGGACAGCTTTGTGTGTGTGCACGATGCACAAGGGTCTGTGCATCTGTGTGTGGTTCAGAAGGGAAGGAAGAGGAGGGAACTGTGAAATTTCAAAGAAGCGCTTGCACTAGAGAGTGAAGCAGAGATAAAGGTGGGCTCATGGTATGAAACCTTCAGAGAAAGTCAAATCAACACTGTTCACATTGTCACCATATAGGAAAAGAAGTTTACAAAAGCAGCTTCCTCCCCTGTTTAGGAACCCAGTCTTTCTTTCATTAGTCACTGAAAAACCTCATTAGTTTTACAGAGCAGCATTCCAGCCTCCTGTTCCCTAGGTGATGGGCTGGGACAAGAAGGACCATGGCATCCTGCTCTCTACATCAGTCACATTTTTCTGGTGCTGTCTCAGGAACCTGTCACAAACTAGCTCAGATTGCTAGAGTTAGGTTTCTGCAAGGACTTCCAGCTGTGGGTGGGAAGCCAAATGCCCGTTTTCAATCTTCTCATGTATTTAGCAATAAAATGCAACCAGCGATGCATTAACAAAAGATTAGACCCATAATTAGATAATTTGTATACTCAAAGTTAAGAACATTACAGAACATACTGTCCATGCTATGTGTCATATTCAGTCCATTAATAACACTTGACAGTTGATAACAAGGATAGGCTGTCAGCTGATTTCAGCTACTATAGCATTTCTTTACTGATATACTAACCTAATCAGTGAAAGAAATAACTTTAACAGGTGCAGCAGGAGACTACCTGTGCAGCTCTACAGAACACACAGCCCATACTTTGGCTGAAAATGCATTTATCCTCTATGGACTATACCTTATAAGTTGTAACATAGTGTTTGACACAAAAGTCAAAAATTCTGGTGTCAGAGATTTCTGAAGACAGTATAAATTATTTTTCTTATCCAATAATAGGTTGTTACCAAGCATTGCAAGAACCTGGTCCTACTCCAGCCTATTCTAATTATTTTGGAGACTGGAATATAGACTGTGGGTGATAGTGTTCAAGATCAGGAAAAGCTCCAAGAGTGAAAGTGCCATCCAGTTTTTGCTGGTTTACATGTTTATTTTGAAAGTGAATGGATAGCCTTTTTTGTACAAATTCAGGTTATGTGCTGTCTTGATGCAATGAAGAAAGGTCAGCATTACTAGTGATGGGGAGAGCTGTTGGGTTTTTTTTTCCCTTACCTAGAAACATTCTACTGAAATGCTCAATATTCTGATCCTGTTTTATAAGCAGTATAATTCCAGTATCACACATGTCCTCTCAAGGAGCTCAAAACAGGGTTCAGCTGTAATGGGGATGCCTAAGCCTTTTGGCTTGTTCTGGAATTGTGACTGAGCACCTGAGAAAGCATTTAATCATGAATCACTTAAAGCTCCCCTCCTCCTGCCTTTCTGGAATAAACGTCCTTTGCTTTGTGCTCTTCCTGAAGCACATCATGATATAATTTCCAAATGTGACAGGACTTGAAAGAAAGGGTTCTCATTCAGGCCATTTTAATACTGATTATTACATGAACTGAAATGAGTTCACCCAAAGCCTGATTGCTTGGCTTGGTGTGCCCAGTTTGACAGAGCACACAGAGCTGATGCTTCAAGTTCTGGTAGATGCTTAGAATAAAATACATGGGGCAAAGAGTAGAAGGAACAACAATGAGAGGCTTTAATTTTGTAGAGCTTGTATGTAAATATGTTCTAGTCCTTCTGCCTGTGCACATTGTGATGGTAAAATCATAAATGTATTGTATTTTAAGGCAGGAATACACCAATGTAACTGCTTGGCCTGAAATGCTCTTTTCCACACATCTGCCCCTGTGGAAGAATCCTTCACTAAGGTGATACAACTTTGTGGTAAAATGTGCCAAGATCATTATGGAAACAACAAGATTTCTGCAGTTGAGTAAATTTGGTGTTTGAAGAGTACTGAAATTATGAAAAGTGCTGCTCCAAAAACCAGAAAAGAAAGTGACTTTATTTTTAAATTACAGGAGGCACTCGCATAACATAGGGTGAAAAAGTGGCAGTGATGGAAATAGTGTCATATTTTTAAGAGGCCACCATTAGGGATAAAGAGTAGAAAGACATAGCTATAAAGAGAACAAAGTAATTGATGAAGTCATGCTAGGATTTTCCTATGTGTATGTACATATGTCTCAAATAAAGAAAATGTTTGGCAAGCAATGTAATTATCATTTAAGTACTTATGGAAAACACCATCAAAGAAGATAAAAACCCCCAAACTTTCATTAAACTCCATGGCATATCTACTTTATGCAGAAGACAGATAGATGTCAGGAAGTAGGTGACTAATGAAGTGGAACTCTGAGAATCCTTGCCTTAGATAAACAATTATTAGAGAAACATTCAGCCAATCAAAATAAATATCATTTTGCAGAAGCCTAACGGTAAATCCTGTAAGTAATTCATGACAAATAATCTCAGAAAAGCATGAAACAGCTAGCACGCTAATGATTTACAGAAGTTCCTTTTTCATGGTCCTGCCTTAAGCCCCAAGCATGTATTTTATTCCATAGTTAAATATCTGTAGGTGTCTGAAAGGTGGTAATTACATTTGTAATAAACATGAGCATCTATAAGCACTGTACAGTGTTGTTTGTAAGAGCTCAGTGAAATACAGATATGCACAGAGCTAAGAAGTAACAGCATTTGTATCCAAGCTGTATGCATTGAAACAGGAATTACTGTTCCACAGGAAGACAGGGGAATTGTTATTTTGAATTATCTTGTTGAAGGCTCAGTTTTCCCGCAGCTGCTCGGAGTCTGCAGCAATCAGGGCAGCTCTGAGCTGGGCATTGGAACAAACTGCACTCGACAGAGCTCGAGCACTGCCTCCAGAGACCAGTGAGAGTGTGCAGTGCAATTTGTCATTTGAAGTAATGACCCACCTGCAGCAGCTTCCTGACTCTTTTCAGGTTGTGGATCAAGAGCAGATTCTTCTCCTGCGAAACCCGGTCCAGCTGTTCGTCCACCTGTATTATCAAATTCTGTAAGAGGATCATTGCCATTGCTTCATTGTTGGCTGCAGCCTCCCTAAAGAGTCAATGAACAACAATACATGTTTAAAATGCTGTGTGATATGTCAATCTAGCAGTACAGAAAATTATAATCTATTCAGAAATCTAGACTTTATATGGTGACTTGCGTATAGTTAGAGTTTGTGAATAATGATTTTTATGATTTTGTGTTTTTTTTTTTTTTTTTAATATTCTTTACATATACATAAAAAGAGGGCGAGGTATTAGCACAGACAGTAGAGTCAGCCAGAGGAGACAACCAGGGTTTTCTAGTCTCTGGTCCAGTGAATATTTCAATACTTCTAGCTCACTTGTCAGAGGAAATGGGGCTTATGCAAACTGTCCCTCTCACTCAGTCACACAGATATAATTTCTGAATTTGCTGCCCAGTTTCATACAAAGTTGGCAACAGCCTTGAAGTCCAAAAGATAGAACATCCTTACAAATTTCATGGCAATCTGGCAGGTTGGTAGAAGAAAGGAATCCAAATTAGCATCTCCACTGAGGGAAACAGCAGCAATAACTTGCTGCAGGAGGCAACAGCCAGATGGTCAGGCAGAAGATACATCTCTTCCCACCAGGCAGCAGCTGAGCCTTCCCCCAGCCAAACTATTTGGGGATACAGGAGGACTCTGAGCCTACTGGTCAAGGGTATGTAGGGGACACAGGACACAGACAAAGCCAGGCTTTATTGGTTCTGCTGTTCATGGTACAGCTGGTATGTGCAGGGCAATGGCATTAGTGAGCAAAACTGAGGAGGAAAAGGTTTGGACAGCATGGCATCCTTGTCCTTGGGATAGCCTCTCCCCTTGCCTCACAGATAGCAGGTGCCTGTTTGAGATACCCCTGCTAACTCCATGTCTGGCAAAAAGGAGATTTTAATGTTACCCGTGTTGCCAGAGTCCCATAAAGACGGAGCCATAAACTGTAAAGAAAGATTCTATTCCTTAGCAGATTTTTCCCCCCACTGCACAATACTCCTCCAATAGTCGGGTGGATTAAGCTTGGAAAATTGAGATGTCTCTTTCTGGTATGACTAATATTTTTTTTTTTTTCATTTAGTTTGGAATTTTCTTAAGATAACTCTCAAGTGAATTGAATCTAAATTTGTGCAGAAATTGACCTGCTAGAGAACAGTTCCTGTAAACAGCTGGCTAGTTCCCCAGAATTATCCAGCTTTAAATGCAATTTTGGACAAGAGAATAATTTTATGCAGCAAGAGGTAAATGTATAACATTTCCATTGAAAATTAACTTGCATTATTTTTTTTAATCCAGTTTTATTGGATTTTGTTCAGGAGTAAGTTCAAATGTGAAACTTCACCTCCCAGTATTCCCCAAGTTTAAATGGCTAGATCCATAACTAGTGAAATAGTATTACTGGAGGGTAGATACCTGCACAGTTTGTAAATGAGCACTCTAAAAGCTGGCAGCAAATAAACAAAAGAATTGTTGGTGATAGGAGACAGAATGAATGAAATCCTACCAGTCCTGGCTTTCTATCCATTGTGCTAGAAGGTGCCGGATTTCCATGGGGAAGTTATCATCGTAGAACTGGTCTACCTGCTCCAAAAACTTTATTTCCAGTTGTTGAACTTGACTCCATTGGGACATACTACAAAAGAAAGGAATTAAACATGTTTGCAACTGAAAAATGAATACTAATTACTAATCCAAACTGCAGAAATCAGTTATTTTCATTGTAGTTCTTAAATACTTTGATATTTTATTCTGTCTTTCAAAACAGGTGGTACTTGAGTAAATTTAGTCAGTTAAAGGGAAGAGGGAGAAAAGTGAGCAAGGCCATTAAAGAAGTTTTGGCTCTTACACTTCAATGAGCTCCTCTGTCAATTCCCTTCCTTTATGTAAATTTTTTGAGATACTTTATGATGCTTTTGAAGTGGCAAAATTTACACACCATCTCTCGTCAAGAGAAGAAACTTAGCATAGTACTTTTCAAACCCAGGTAGAACTTTTCTTATTGAAGGGTAGTGGAAAGCAATGATTTTGCTCTCCTCTTACCACTCAAATTTTTCTTAAAGTCATCATGGTTGTGTGTTACTGTGCTGTTCCTAAAACCCCACATTTTCTGTTAGGAGAGTACTGCTTTATAACCTAAATCTAGTACATCTCTACTTTAAATTGCCATAAAATTCTATTTGATGTGCCCTGGGATCTCAGTCCTAGGACTGAGATCAGTGAGCTCTGCCAACACCCTGATCCCATACCAGAGGTTTTCTTCCATTTCATCTTAATACAAGACAAAATACATTCAGGGCTAAAGACTGAAGTGGGCCAACACACTATGGATCTGATGGAACATTTTTGATAGAACTTTTCCTGAAGAAAAGGACAAGATTTCATCAAAATGGACATTTTTGTTGAAAGCTGACCTTTTCATATGCAGCTTTTCTATTTCCAGTTCTGAATTGTAGTTTCAGAATGTCAACAGTTTCAAATAAAGATATCATATTTTAATGCTGTAGTCTTTCATTTTGCATTTTTAAAGTCAAAAGGAAAAAAAAAAAGTACTATCTGAATGTTTAATGGAGTCCTGAGCACTTACTCATACAAAAGTAAAAGTGACAGGTTTAGGTTCTCAACAAAGGCTGATAGGATAATTCTGTGTGTGATATAAAGAACGCTGTATATAACATCAGTGGAAATATGCCCAGTGACATTTCCCTCATCTTTATTACTTCCATTCTGAGAGGAAAAAAATATTGCTTGAATATTTACTTTGTTTTTTTAAATTGCTGAGCAGGAGTTAGGCACAGGGGTGTTTCACTGTCTGCGTTGCTATATTGACAGTTACAAAGAATCCCAAACTTTATTTCTGGTGATTCATACAAGGAATCTAATCATAATGAATTAATAATTTATAGATTAAAATCTGACAATTGTTAAGATTTGGAAGGGACCTCCAGGATTACTGGATCTGACTGTAACTTTTTTTCTGAACTCACACTAAGGGAAAAAACCCCACCACAAACAGATTTTAAAGTCTGTTCACTTTCAGTGGGAGTTTTTATTGTAAATGCTAGTGAATTCTGGTGATTATGATAGCTTAATAAGATTAGTGAGGAAATTTAATATTTTTATCTAAAGTTAAAAAAAAAAAAAAAAGGCAAGATTTTGTCCAGCTGCAGCCCCCTTAGGCCTGCATGTAAGTTGCAGGGATGCTCACATGCATAAACTGTTGCAAAGCACACGGGTGGCGTTTGTCCCTGGGATTTTTGTGACATGCTCATACAACCCATGTTCCCTTTGCGCAAAAGGTTTTGCAGGGACAGCTGGGAAGGTCGGGCAGTTGTGGCTCATCGTGAATGCCCCCTGAAGGGAACTGAAAGAAAGTTTTCAGGAAAGATGGGCCAACACTGTCTACAAGAGAGGACGAGGGGAATAGACTCAAATTGAAAGGGAGTAGGCTGAGATTAGACATTAAAAAAATTCTTTACTGTGAGGGTGGGAACAGGTTGCTCAGAGATGTGGACTCCCCATCCCAGGAGGTGCTGGAGGGCAGGTTGGATGGAGCTCTGAGCATCCTGGTCTCTAGTGCCAGCTGTCCCTGCCCGCGGCAGGGCGTTAGAACACGATCTTTAAGATCCCTTCCACCCCAAACCACGCTGCCGCTGTATGTAAGGCGGCCGGCAAGGAGCGGGTGCTGCGGGGATGGCGCCGTGTTCAGCCGCACCCCGGACAGCGCAGACCAGCCCCGCTTTTCGGCCGCCCGGGCGCTCTCCCGGCCGCCGGGTTTGCCCTGGAACCTGCTCCCATCAGCCCCGCCCGTGCCGGGGGTCGGGGCGCGTCCCATCCCATCCCATCGCATCCCATCCCATCCCGTCCCGTCCCGTCCCGTCCCGTCCCGTCCCACCCCATCCCGTCCCGCCGCACTCGCCTGTGCCGGTCCGGCCGAGCCCCGCCGCTGTCCCGCCCCGCGGGCTTTAAGCGGCCGCGCCCGCCCCCGGCGCCTTCCTGTGCGTCAGCCCCGCGGGCCGCGCGGCCCTGCGGCTCTCTATCGCAGGAGCCCCGGTCGCGACAGGTATCTGGGCTGAGCTCAGAGCCTGCAGGAAGTTGCTTGTCTTCAGGAAGCTGGAAAATACCGAATTCTTTCCCGTTCGTGCTGTCAGGGCAGAAGGCTGAGAGACCAAGGGCATCCCTGGGGACTCGGGGTCCCGCAGTTCCCCCAAAAGCCGTGGAGGCATCGGTGTGCCGAGCTCTGCTGAGTGAAGGCCAGTGAAAAGGCAAAGGGCAGTTCTTGGACGAGCTGGGCCGCGGAACAAATTCCGCAAACTTTTGTGACTTCGAGCATCATCGAGGTTGGACCACACCTCCAAGAACATCGAGTCTAACATTTGGCTAAGCATCACCATATCAACGTGAGACCCACACTCAATTTGTTTATTCAACACCTCCAGCAATGGTGGCTCCACCACTTCCCTGGGCAGTCCATTCCAATGCTTAGCCACCCTTTCCCTGAAAAAAATTCTTCCTGATATTCAACCTGGACATCCCCCTGGTGCAGTTTAAGACGAAGTCTCTGCTCAGACCTGCCCTCTGTCGTTTGGGGTTCAGCAAGCATAGGACGCTGGTTAGCTTACGTGGACCACGTCAGGACAGAGAATTAGTAATTTGAGGACCACCCAGGAAATAACATCGATTAGTAATGTGATTTTGTGTCGTCAGTAGGGGGAACTATTGCACTGTATTTCTTTTAAATAAATATTGGTAACTATTTAATTTCTTTTTACATTAAGCACTCATTTTCTGAGCATCCTTAAGCAACTGCTGTCTGTAATGATGAGAAGACAGGTAGTTCATACCATTGCAACAAAACAAGATAGCAACAGGTTTTCAATCCCCTTTTTGCTTGCTGTTTCTCTGCTTAACCTAGAAAATAATCTCTATAGTGGAGTGGTTGATATTAAGACAATACAATGTTTCCTATTATTTGATGGAAGTATCTGTTCAGGCTTGCTTCAGGAGGCCATAACCTAGAAATTCAGCTCGGTGGTCTCAAAATCCAGGGTAATCAGAGGTCATTCTTCATCTGAGGTTTGGAGATCAGTTTCTGGGAAGACAGTTCCTGTTCCCTTCTTCCCTTCTTTCTCCCTCTGCACTTCCTGGCAGGTGGAGCAGTGAAGGCAGGTCAGTGGCTGGGATGGAGACCAGCTGTGGAGCCAGCTGTTGGGGGTGCAGGGTGCTGGATGTGAGCCATGGCTGTGGAGGCAAGAAACAGGGGCATGATCGTCACAACAAGGGGGCAGGAAAGTGGATGGAGTTTCAGTGTTTCAGTGAGTCTGGGATCTCTGGGGCTTTGCAGAAGCTGGATGGAGAAAGACAAAGGGAAGGGCACTTTGTTTGAGGGAGAGGAATAAAGAGCACTGTGATCCAAGGGCATTAGAGTTGGATTGTCAGAAGCATTGAGGGACAGCCTGATGGGGCTGTTTGAGGACCAGAGGTGGGAGAGGAGGGTGTGGAGCAGCAGAGCTGACGGGGTGGGGAGGGCTAAGGGTTCACTTCTGAGCCTGAAGAATAGCTCAGCTCTGTGCTCTTGGACAAGGGTGAGGAGGCATGTTAGCACACTGAAGGATGTGGTGGTGTTTGGAGGTGTGAGGGAAACTGCTGTGGAGCAGGACTGAGGTAGGAAAGAGATGGTCTAGGTCAGTTCAGGGAAGCTCTGGAGGAGATATGTGTGGGTGGGATCCTGAAAGGATAGCTCGAGGTGTGTGGTGGATACTGCTGGTCTAGCACAGGAGGAGGCTGTAAAGGAGGCAGTGCCTGGGCTGAAAGGAGATGTTTAGGGGCAAGGAGTTGTGACAGGCTGACGCTCAGTGAGTACAGATTGGGCAGGCCAGGAAAGGTTAAAACCACCAGTGGGTTTGATGAGGCAAATTTAATCTTCACTGTGTAATGTTTTATTCCACTTCATCAGTGTTTCAGCACTGGTAAGAGCAGAGTACAAGAAGCAAGTATCTACATTGCGTGAGCTGTTTAAGGAAAGAAAAGGTCTCAAGCAATGGAGAAGGAATTCAGGACATAGTAATCTTCTCATTAAAAGTTCACAAATTTTTTCTAGGAACACTGAGCCAATTTATTACTTTGATCTCTCTGACCAACCTGTAATCAAGATTACCATCTTTCATGTTTGGTCTCCAGTAATATGCTCCTTGACTAACATTTAATTAGAGTATGTGTCATCTGTCTTTTACATAAAGGAGACATTCAGCTTGTACATGCTCTACGTGTGTTATGTCTTGTATCTGAACTGTCCATGGCTTTTTTTCATGCATTCAGAACATGGACTTCTGGTCTCAGTGAGGCAAGTAAACACTGTAATTGTGAGAAGTTGTCCTGCTGACAGTGTAGTTCCTTCTAGTCAGCACAGCATGAATCAGTAGTTTTCTGTGCAGGTCACATCCATTACTGTCCTCTGTTTGGAGAAAAAAGACAGGAACTGTTGTAGGCACGCAGTCTGTGGAAATTGGCAGTGGGGCTGTGGCCCAGCCTCATCCCCAGTGGGTTCAGCTGTGCAGGACAGGTGAATGGTATTGAAGGTAACGAGAGATGGAGTGCCCAGGGGCACTGAGCAACCACCAAAGGGCACAGAGGGCACACAGGTGTACTGCATGTGGGATGAAGGGTATAAAAGGTTCTGCTGTGGCACAATAAAGAGCTGCAAATGCTTGAAGCCTTCTGAAGTGATGTTACTCTGTGTGAGCTGATGCTTGAAGCCCTCTCTGGTGTTGGTCATTCTGATAAGGAACAGCAATGTTGATCTAAAGTTAAGTGTTATAACAATCTATTTATGAATGCTGGAAAGAATTCTTTTTTCTGTGTTTGTATGTAGCCATTATGCCTAGAAAAAGAGGATTTTTGGCTGTTTGGTGCTTCTTAACTGCTGAAATGCTTACCACTTTCCCCCCTCCAGTAATGAGTAAACTATATGTGCAGATATTTAATCTATATAAGGATACACATCTTGCCCAAATTCAATGTGATATCAACTAGAAAAAAAAATAACTTGCTACATGGAGAATAATGAGAAATAAGGAATTATAGAAACTAGTTTTCTCCCACTGACTTGGGTTCAGGTTTCTGCTTTCAGGGTGGTTTGGTCTTTTGATGTTGCAGTCTCTGTCTTTGCTTTTTTTGGCAAGTGCAGGTAGAGTGACCACTTGGCAGTGCACAAGCAGGTCGGAATGAGTGACCTGAAGGTAGATGACTTCTGTCCTTTTTGCTGCCTGGGCCCTAAAAGAGGGTCCATGCCCATCCCTACTGCCAAGAGAGGATCTTCTACCCCAGTTCATAGCAGGTGAGAAGTTCTGTTGAGCTGGCACAGTCAGAATTTTTATGTCTTGTTGTCTGCCATCTTTGAACAACAGGTGTGTTCTTTTGATGCATACCTTTTTCATCATTTTACCACTTGATGTCATATTTGCAATTTTGCACTGGGTGCTTCAATGTGTGTCCTGGGAATACTTGAAGGATTTTATTCTCAGAAGAAAATATTTGTGTAATTTTGGAGATTTTTTTTCTTAAGGAGAAGGAAGCCTGTGTATCTTGTAGACGTTAAGGCCAATGCCACTTGGTGTCCTACAGTCCCCATACAAACTGCTACACTGATAAAATTAAGGTAGGAAGAAATTACATGAAAGGTCTCTGTTCCACCAGAGTGGCAGTCTGTCATTGTTTATGGAAAGAACACGTGTAGAGAAGTGAAGGAAGCATGGAAAGAAGTGAGGGTGATGACAGAAGTTCAGGAGACAGAAGGAGAGAAACTCTGGGGGCCTTGTATTAATTACCTTGTAATATAAATGAAGTATTGCATATGTGGAAAGCCACTGTACATAAACTTTGCCTTGTGTCTCTGCTCCAGTCATAATTTTTTAGCAGTTTTCTCTCTTGAAATGTGTGACTGATTTAACCTGCCCTCTTCCTGGATGACATAATGCAAATTTGAATTTTACTGTTCCTGAATTACTCTACAGTCAGGTTTCCTTTTTTGGTTGTGATTATGTAAATTGTTAGAAATGCTGGTAGTGTTATTTTAACAGGCTTTTTCACTCAGTATAGTCTCTGGGAGCTCAGGAAGTTTTTTCACTCATGCAACAGCTTCCCTGACAATTGATAATGATCACTTCTTGTTTGTGCAGATCTTGAAGACTTTAAGATGAGTGGTTTCCAAAGTAGAGTGTGAGAAAGGAGTACCAAATCAGTGTTAGTTGGTAAGTGCTGTGGGTTTTTATATATGTGCCTGTGAGGTAGAGTATGAAAGGTAAAATGAAGACCCTTGCTGGTGACTTGGTTAGGAAATAGCTTGGCTGGACAAGAGAAAAAATAATTACAGGTTTTAACTCTGATGGTACCAAGAGGACTTCTTGATTTATGTTATTCTCCGAAACTCCTTATTTTGGTATTCTTTGTATAACAAAGCACCCAACTTC